CCACACCCATCACAGCAGCGAATAGAAAGAATGTTATCTGCAATAACATTCTTTCAAATAGCAAAAAGAAAAGAAGAGAAAGCGAGAATAAAATGATCGCTAACAAAAACGGTCGTTAATTTTGCATCAACCCAATAGTTCCGTTCTATTAGTCATATACATGAGACTAGAACATTAAGACAACAGATTCTAGAAACCTCAGAGTTTTCTTACAGGTGACATTGAAATTCGCGTACGTGAAAAGGGTGTGAGCGTGGTTGGGGGGTTCTCTTCACCAATACCCCACATCCACACCCAAACCCTAAAGTTTTTTTTCTGATACGATTGCTTGCACAAAATTAATAGTTTTCTTTTCTGAATCGAATTGACCACATAGATTTATAAAGATGATATGAGCTCCTCAACTGTCATATAGAAGAATTTGGCTACAGTGAATAAAGCAATAAGGATGGGGTCTGGGTATGAGCTTTGATGTAGTTCTTCTATTAAGCATCCCACCACCCACTCACCCACACCCATACCCTCTTCATTCTATTGATACAGATTTTGATAAGATTGTAGAGAAACCTCTCGATTAATTATTTTCAGATTGATTTCGTATATCCTGATTGAAATTGTTAACTTTATATATATGCATAAAGATCAATGCAGGTTTGATTTATGATTAATGCTTCTTGTAACCTTGATTTACACGATAACAGCGTTATCTTTTCTCGTTAAATAATAGAAATACAAAAAGTTCTTTTTTTTCATCGTCTACTGTATTTATAAAGGAAAGCTTTTTTTCGTTTTGGCTTGTGATTTTGTTAGAACGATCATGGGACGAGAAAGGTTTGTCAATGTTTTATATATTTCATAGTTGACGTTTTCTTACAAACAATATTGTGAATAGAAATCATTTACAAGATTATCACTGGATATTTAATATCATTGTTCGATTCTCTCTTCAGTAGTCTATGGGGCTGAAATAACCATAAAAATGTTCGCCCTCGAGATGTTTCCTAATATGTATTTAGAAAGACAACATTTGAAAATAAATTTAAAAAAAACATAAATTTCAATATTCGAAACGCATAGCTCTGGTCTGTATCTCGCTGCTTGATGCTTATCCTCTCGACTCAAGGGAGGGTCATATGAAATAAAAAGAGTTTGTGATCTGGCAGTCAATGAAAGAGTAACGCATTCAGATATGTTAACGTGATTGCAGGTTCGATAATCTGAGTAACATCAAATATATATGAAGGTTTTTGAGACCACTGGTTCAGTCAATTACATATGTTCGGTGTTCGGCTATGAGCCTGTCAAGCTTTCTTCAACTAGCAGTAATTTCATGTTTTCCCATTTCTTTCCTTACTAACTGGTGTGGTTAGAAAGGATTGATGTGTAATTGGCATATTTTCTGTGATACTAATGTGCACTCAGTGATATTTTTAGATGGTGTGCGCTTGACCTTAGCTGATGAGTTGCAGCAGATCAGCTTTATTGTAAGTTGTCTTATCTAGATGTGGTTATCGAAGTAGATATGTGCCAGAAAAAAATGTAACGCGTAGAATTGCATTCACGCAAAAACCCATTTAGAGTCCCACCAAAATTCGCATTCACGCCGACAAGTACTTCTGAAACTCAAAGCCTAGTTTTAGTCGATCCGACGTTATCGGTATTTAAGTCTACACGCATTATATTTTTTTCTGGCTAAGTATTCAATTATTCGCATATTTTTTCAGGAGTTCTGGCTCGTGGAATTTCTATAGTAACTGTAACTCGAATAAGTTAATATAAAAAATATATTTGTAAATGAGATCACATCTTTTAAGGTAAATCGAGTATAACCAACTACTGTTGCAATGTATTCAAATAATGGAGCGACTAGCCGTGAGTTGCGCCTCGGAGGAGCTCCCACGAACGACTAGTTACTGATATTGCAAGTACACTGTAGATTCGCTTCAGAAAAGATCTATGTAAAAGCTAGTTCTTTGAGAATACTGAACTAAGATTCCCTTAATGAGAAATTCTAGTAAAAACTTCAACTTTTCAGCTAGACAATTAGGTTGAAGAAATAAGAAATAGTTCATAAGAAAGAGTCAGTTTGGCACTGTCCATTGAGAATTCTCATGTTACAAATCTAACGATTTTTCCAAGTAAGAGCAGACTGGAATTTGATAGATTGTAAATCAAAGAGAATGATCGGATGAATAAAGAGAATTACACATGGCAGCGACTAGCCGCTGCTATGGGCAATTTTCTGAAGGAACACATCAGGCTGTTAGGATCCATCAAGAAAATGTCAACGGTCTAGATCTGATCAGTTTCAATAGGAACCAGAAGTCTCAAAAAAAAAAAAAGTAAGAAACATTTTCAAATAACGTATGAGAACAGCTTTTCTGCACGGGCACACTATCTGAACAGTACATTGGACGGAAAATATCACTCAAAGAATTTATAGTCACTCTATCGGAAGCAAAATTGAATGAAATAAAATGAGTTTTTCTGTTGGTATGTGTCCTTGTCTGTGTTCATTCACATATCAAAATGCATTCGAATATATTCAAATTACCTGTCTAAGCTGATGACCACTCTGAATAGAAACATTACTAAAGTGGCGCATGCCGATTACAGATTAGATCTAGTATGATTTATTTTAAGCTAGAAGTTCAACTGAAATCGTATTTTTCTAGTGGACGCTCGAGCAAACGACAGTGTCAGTTGATGTGCTAGTAAGCATACGGACTTTTAGCAGAGTTTTCAAGGAGTATGAGGCGTTTTCATATTAGTGTCGCGGATGTGTTTTGCTTCGTGACCCTCTCAGTAAATTGAATATAATATGCTTTTTCGGGTGCGTGTGGATACTGTTACTGTAGTGTAGTTCATTTAGATTTCGGTTGGGTATTAATGTGTGGGTTTCAGTTTGATTAGATCAATTTATGACAAAAATCCTCATACGAGCACGCATACCATTGTGCATAGCGAGACTGACACCAGTATTAACATCCACACACATATACCCTTTTTCAAACTTTGGATAATAGCTTTGTTGAAAGCTGCAAAGAATATGGATGCAACGGTGACGGTAACTGTAGGTACAGTTATCGTAGTAGGATCCGTAACCGTACCTACGGTTATCAGTTTGGAACGGTGAATGATCGTCACCGTTGCATTACTAGCAAAGAAGCATAAAATATCGAAAAAGCCGAATATTCAGTCGAGGATTAAGCGAGTCACACGGATGAGCGTTACTTGTTAATATAGGCTAAGAAAAAGAAAATATATCATTACATATTTTCTGATTAAAACAAAGAAGAAAACAATAGAAAACTATCGGCTGTTACTTTTGACATGTTACACTGAAAAAATTTTACACGAGACCGCGGTATCGGATATGGTTGGGATTGTTCGAACTCTTACAGATCTCAGCAGTGGCGTAGCGAGGAAGTTTTGAGTATTGATCAATTTCTCAACTAAACTCTTTTAAGACTTGGACAGCCATGAGCAATTGAAAAGCAAATGGGCTACAGTTTTTCCAAGCTTCTTATCTTTCCAAAGCTGATATCTATTGAAAAGAAAAGTCAACAACCTTCAAGCAACAGACGAGCGTATTCGTTGTTCTTGTATTACTTGACAAGGGTATTTTTCAACTTTAAAGTGTCTTATCATCACTTGTGTGAAAATACCACGATAGCCATATTTTTAAGGAGCACCACAGGTGGATATCTGGCTTCGAAGCCCAAGAGGTAAAGGGTTTTTCCTGCCAGTTTTTCTCTAACTAAATTTTCTCAAGAAAATGCCGCGCAGCGAATTGGTTTTTCATTTTCTTGAAATTTACAGTTTCGTGACAACAAGTTGATCGTATCAGACTTACGGACTGAGCATCTGTTGAGGTCAGCATGCAGTCGAAGGAAGTGCATTTTTAGAATAGAACAAAATGTTTTATTGGACAAATCTAGAATTCATTGAATGGAAATTCGATTTTTCGGATGTTAACAGTAAAATGTCACCTACTTGATTAGATACTCAGCCGTTGAAAGCGACTACGCTTTCAGTTTCTCGCTGAAAAATGGATTGTTGATGGACCGAAATGTAATTCGTTCCCTTGCTCAAGAACGGTTAAAAAACGTGGAAACATACACTATTTTGAAAGTCGAAATAAAGAGAAAATTAATCAAATTAAAGAATTATTGAAAAATCTTATTTGCGAAACGAAAATATTTCAAACTTGGAACAAAACTGTACTTGAATAAATGGTATGTTAAGAAATTTCCCCTAACTCTTCGTTGTTGCCCTCATTTTGGAACTTCATTGTTGTCCTGAGGTTCACATGGATTCACTCATAGGAAATTACAAAAAACGGTACTTTTGTTTTACTCAAGCCATTCATTTATGTTTTATAGGTCTCTAAATACTCCATCATAAAGGTTGACATGCCAGTTTCTATGATGGCAACATGAAGATATGAAATATCGATAAAAAGATTGTCTGAAACTGTTTTCATAACAACATTGAAATACAACGGAAAATAATCATAGATTCAATCACTTTAGTCCAGAGCGGCAGAGATACTCTGATATGTTGACATATACAATCGTCTATGGTTAAGAACGAGAGAAATTGTTATGGTTAATTATCTTTATTTTTATATTTTTCTCTTTTTTTCATGATTAAAAATCGTATAGAATTATAGTTTCTCTAACCTAAGGATGGAGTTTTTCTCATTTAAGTTACATTGCTGAATGCGAAGTTCTTTCTAGTTCTTTTCTTCACATGTCTAGCAATTTGCTATTGTTATGTTGCTAGACGAGAAAGACAGACATTCTTTTTTACAATTATAACAAGTTTGTTGAACTTTCTATCCAGATTATGCTGGATACAAATAACATCTTCTGTCTGATCAGTTCAAATGGATGAATTCACACTAAGATCTTCGATGCACTTCGGACGAAGATGATAGATGAGAGGCTTTAGAGTAACCTTGGCTTTTGGTATTAAACGAGATTCTTGGCTCTGATATTGATTTTGTCAGCCTGTCAAAGCTATACTAAATTGTGATAAAAACATAAGTCGAGTATTTGTTCTTCTCATATCCGATGTAGGATTTTGACGTACACCTCCGAACAAAAGTCTTTTCTCCCTTTTTTTTTAATAGTATCCTACTTTGCATCAGATTTATTACCGAGTAGATATATGACATGAAAGTTTTATTACAATGCGATCCGTACACCATACTGAAATAAAACTCTCATGTCATATATCCATTCGGTAATAAATCTGATGCAAAGTAGAATACGATAAAAATAAAGAGGGAGGAAAGATTTTGATGCGGGGATGTAATTAAAATGCCATAGTTTTCGTGAAAAAACAATTAGGAGACAACAGATGCCAGCTTCAGCAAGACGAAGCATGATGCCTATAACCAGGCCCGGCGCAAGGGGAGTGTACGGGTGTGTACGCCTCCACAAAAATCAAAAATTTTCAGTTTTTTCCGACCGCAAGAGCAGATTTTGTCTACATTTTATGATTTTTCTGCAAGATTTGTCTGAAAATACTCCCTTACACCCCCCTAATATTTGATCCTTTGCGCGGGCCCAGCCTATAACATCGTTGTTGTTGTAGGATCCATCTAGATTCACAGCTAATCTTTTTCCTTCTAAGATCTATGCATGACTTTTAGTAAGGACATTATGCACCATCAAAAGACTAGAGGTTAGAGAAGGAGAATGATCCGAAACGACAAATGTTAATATAATACTACACGAAAAACTAAAGTGGGTCCATTTGGGCCCCACGCCAACAACGAAGGCTTAGGCAGTTTATAGTTCAATTGTTAAAGGACAGCCTCCTACCATCAATTCTAGAGGTAGGGTGAGAGTGAATTCCTAATTATCCTTCCTTCCATTTTTATGCCTCGACAGTGATGCCGAGCTTTAGTTTAGTCTGCCCTGTTTCGTCGGACAGCGGCAAGAGCCACTCCGCATTTTTATAGCTCTAATGTTTAGTTATTTATGAATCCCTCAAATTACGAATTACCATTTGATTTGCCACTGTTGGCAATCGCTAACTTGTATTTTCAAAGCACTTTCATTCGTCCATTGGATCGAATTTCATTCAGAATTTTGTATGTAGCTCATTGGATTTTTAGATTTCTATGTTGTGATATTCATGTCATCGCTTACATTTCTAAAATGTTTAGTTCAAAGTACTGCAGCCGTTGCCATTCGATATAGTTTGATGTGCATTAAAAGACCGCTAAACATTCATCCATGTTCTTTTAAAAATGCATTTGATAGTATAAGAATTAGTGCTTTCACTAAAATATCAGTGATATGCCATCATTGTGATCATCGTTTAATGGAAAAGATCGTCGAACGATCGTTTTTGACTAATTGGCCAGACCACAACAAGAGATAATCTATTAGAATTTCATCACGAAAGTCTCCGAACTTACATGTTCATAGAAAATTTTTGTCATTGGGCAGTTAGTATCCTCTCAAAAATATCATTAGGCAATGACCATTGGAGCATTAGACAATTGCCCAATCGCCCACCCCTGGCTATGCCACTGGATCTCAGTGCGGGCGTGAGTGTCAGTTTGACTGTGACGAAAAGAGTACCAACACCCACACCCTTTTCTACAGTTCTTAAAAACCGAATAAATGACCTGCCTACAGTGATAAAAAAAATCGAATAAAACTGTGGGCTCAACAGCTACGTGTTATCATGGTTCTTCTTTAATAGTTTTCCATGTGGTCTAACGAGTTGTTTTGTGATAGTCATCATCCGAAAATGTAAATATGCTATACTCATCAATAGAAATTTGTGACGAAATTATTCATTATATCCAAGATTTAAAATAAATTGCTGTTGTTTTTCTTTTGTTTGAATAAAATATAGAAAGATAATATATATATTAACTACTCTTCTGGGAGTATTTTTTGTATTAACCATTGTATTTGTTGCTTTATATGGAGTTCAAAGGAATCAACCATCACCTATTGTAGGTATGAAGTATTTCATTTTCTATTTGATAGTCTCTATTGGTTTTTTCCTCTAGGAGAAGAAAATGACTTATGTGAAACACCATATTGTATTAGAGCAGGTTTGTTCTAGTCAACCAAATAAATTGAATTCTTTATTTTTCAAAATCCAATAGCAAATTATCTACTTGAAAGTATTGACAACAGTGTTGAACCATGTGACAATTTCTTTCAATTTGCTTGTGGTGCATGGCTAAAGAATCATCGAATTCCTGATGATGGTAAATTGATTAATTTTTCTTTTCTTTTTTTGGTATTGTCTAAATGAATTCTATTTGTTGTTTTAGCTGGATCTCTAGGCACATTTGACAATCTACGAAATCAATTAGATAGCGATGTTGTTGGTAAATATGAACGATAGATTAATTTTAAACATACAATGAATTTCATGATAACATAATGGGTGTGATCTACCTCTTCTTTCAAAAATTGTCAACACAACACTCTCTTTATCAGAGACTTAACCCATTATCTACTTCCCTGCATCCAGTTCTGATTTATGCCTCGATATGAAATCTGTATCTTGATAATAGCATATAGATTATTTTTATCTCAATATATCTTTCAATAAGCGAGAACAATATTTATCATGATAAACAATAATAATACACTTATCACTAACAAACAAAAGTTTTTGAATTACCCAAAAGTTCTAACAGAGTCTAGGAATTTTTGACTAGGTTCTTCAGATAAATTTCCAAGTGATAGTGACTATTCTCTTTGAATTAACATGAAATCGGAAATCAAAATTTTCGCTAAAACAAATAATTGTTAGGTCACAAAGAAAGAATTGAATTCAAACAGTTCGAAAAGTATTATAGTAAACTAGAGTCCTGATATAGGATCCGACTTTCGCGATGGATTCGAATTGAAGTTTAAAACAGAAATGGGTTGCCATGGAAACAAATTTGAATAAAAATCGCAATTGAAACGCGATTTTTACGTAATAGCGTGGTTTCTTCATTATCAACCCGGATATGATAAAAGAGACCGCAGTTAATCACGGTTTGTCACAACACAGATACGACATCCGAGTATGTCCACATAATATCACTCTGTTTCTACTGCCAAAAGCCATGATTTCAAAAAACTTTGATTTGATAGAGATGCACAACATGGTTTAAGATCGTCACTTTGCATGACTGTGTATTTCATGAAATCGTCCTCATAGGAATTGACCTCTCCATATCTTCAAAGATCACTAGTAATCAAACTGTGGTATTCAAAATCTAAATCTAGTCTTTTCAACACCTTTCTTTTCGGTTATCTACCATCATGCTTTTCATTGATGAAACTAGAGTTCGATAAAATACCACTTTTTGAACACAACACTTTTCTGATTAAAACTACCACTTGACACTGGTCTTTCCTTTTGTTATATACGCGATGTTTATGTTTTCAATTGTTTCCTTTCATTTTGTCTGCCACTAATGTTCATTATTTCTTATAAATAATCCCAATCATTGCATAAATAAATAAGAATTGTGATTCAATGATACGCAAGGTAAGAAAGAATTGAAACTACACGAATGTTATCAAAAAAAACATTGGCATGAAAAGTAGCTGTTCACATTTTGATTAGTATCTACCGATGAATTCAGTGATTTCTTTTGTGAGAATAAATCTACTAATCCAATCAAATCACTTCTAATGCTAAATATCATTCAAGTTTCATTTTATTTATTAAGATATGTTAATCTCGCCACTTCCAATTGAAATGAACAATATTCAATCTTTAATTAATGCTCGTCGTTTATATGATTCATGTACTAATGAAACAGCTATAGAATTAGAGACTATCAATGTATTACTTTCTTTTGTTAATAATGAACTTGGTGGTTGGCCAATTTTGCAAGGTTCATCCTGGAATGAATCATCGTTTAATCTTTTACGTTTATTACTTAAATTACGTCAATATGACCTCAATATTATATATGGTTGTAGAACATCAACTGATGATAAAAATTCTTCTGTTAATTTTATTGAAGTGATAAGCAAAATTAATAGAATTCAATCAAAGAGTTTCTATTTTGCTTTTCAATAGGTTTACCAAAGTAATCTTGCTCTTGAGCAACGAACAAACTATGATCAAGAAACGAAACTTACCATGGCTTACAGAAAATTTATTACTGATTTAGCTTTAGCCTTAACAAATGATTCAACCATGATTAGCACGGATGTTGACGATATTTATAATTTTGAAAAAAATATTTCAAAGGTAAACGAAAATGCGTGTTTTCACTCGATAAATTACATAAATAATAATATTTAGTTTCATTGGACACTTGATCAACAAAATGCCAGACAAAATGAAACAGTTCGCACAACAATTGGCAATCTTTCACAAACATTTATGACTGTGTACCTAAAGGATGTCTAGTTAAATATCATTTTTTTATTCTCTCGTTTTCGCAGTCTGAACTTGCCAAATTTTCGTCACTTCTTTCATTCTCCTTTTTTCACAGATATCGTTAATAGATGGCCACTAGTACAAGTGTAAGTATTCAATTCTTTTTCTGCTTATAATTTGTTTTGTATTTAGTTTGATTTTACAAATTATCTTCGACAAATTTATTCTTTATCAAATATTAATTTAAATGACAATGATGTTGTGTCAGTTAGCGAATTAGAGTTTTTACGTAATGCATCATTGATTATTGATCAATCTTCGTCACGTTTAATACAAAATTATTTTGTATGGCGCTTCATAATGGCACGAGTAGCAAATTTGCCTAAACGTTTTCGCTCTATACAAGATCCATTTGATGAAGCTTTTCGAGGTACTAGTGCTCAACGCCCACGTTCAATAATATGTGGAAATTTTGTGAATAATAACATGGGCTTTGCTCTTTCAAAACTTTATATTAGACAATATTTTGATGAAAATGCTAGAAATCAGGTATTCTATTCTATTCTATTTTAAATTCTTAAGAATAGAATTATTTATAGAACAATTGCTTGTTATTTCTGATTCTCAACGATATAAAATTCATAATTCGGCAATAGGTTGAATTTTGCGTTTTCATGTAGTGAATATAATAATTGAGGATTGGATAGCCATTTTTAAAATATCATAAGAAGAAAAAACAGCAGAAACATCAATATCTTTCTTTTCATTCTAAATAATTTTTGAAAGGAATAATACGTCTGTCTCTCGATTACCTTGCAGTACAAGGTATTGACTAGTTGGTAGATTCATCAGCTTGTTATTTTTTCAATAACTAATACTAGATGTATCTTTAGAGAGAAGATCAGTCTGGCGCAGAGCTCTTGTGCTCAATCGTTTGAGGATTCCATGCACATTGACTAACTAAATATTAGGTGCTATGGCAAGTGTATGTCAAAACATAGCCAACATGCTATCAAACGACTGATTTCAGAAAAATACGAATTAGTGACTTGTTCAAGTTCAATCCATAGCTGATAGTACCCATATTTGCATACAATAACTGACGGATACATGTCAAAAACCGTACTTACTCACTCACTCTTGGCAACAGAACTCGAGATACCATGCTATGTTCAAAATGTATTCATAGTTAGCTAATTGTTGCTTGGGTAATTCAGATAGTTAGAACAAGTGTGTATAATACAAAAATTGAGATGTGTCAATTAAGTTTCAGAAAATAAGAAAGTTTTCGGTATATTATCAAAATACTGAGATCTAATTATAACATGGATATTCTAACTTTTTGAGAAAACATACACCAATGACGAGACGACTCCAATTAACATTTTCTATTTGAGTGTATGTTGAACTATGAATGAAGTTTCACTGAAACTAACAAAAAGCTAAAAGACTTTGTTCCCATGAGCCTTTTGAACCGAATTATGGCCGGTTTAATGCATTGTCCACTCATTTGTAAATAGGTTTCGAAAAATGAAACCGTAGAGTTGTGCTGTAAACTTTTTTTCTATAGATTGACCTAATGACACTTATAATATCTTGAAAATTATTGAGCTCATTGGGGAATTCAATACATCGATGAAGGCATATTCTTCTAGGCTGACACATTTCAGGATATTTTAAACATCATTAGATGTATCTATGAGCTAAATTTTGAATCGAAATTCATACATTTAGTATTTCGAAAAATGGATAAAAATGAGTTAGAAATCTAGTAGATCGGCCATGACTCGACGTTCCAGGTCTACGAGGACGATTCTTTTGACTTTGTGTTAGCCTCACATATACCTATTTGTGAGTTTAATATGAGCACAAACAGCGGCTGGTTATCTGGATAGTTTCCATTATAGTTTTGGCAATTATAACTGTTTACTTGAGGAGGAATTATATACGTGACTCTTTACCGAAAAATTACCAAAAAGCTCGATGATTTTTGAAAATCCACACTCGTATTAAGAATTTCAACAATAGAAGATGAATTGAATTGAATTTACTCTTTTTATTTTGATTAGTCATTAGAAATGATAAATAGCATTCGAAATGTATTTCTTGATATGCTGAAAAATTCGACATGGATGGATGAAACATCAAAAAGTAGATCAATAGAAAAAGTAAATTTAAGACTAAAATTTTTCAAAACTTTAATTATACATAATAGGCATTAGCAATCGATGAAAAAATTGGTTATCCAGAATATTTAGGCAGTACTAACACATTGGAACTCGACAAAATGTATCAAGAAGTATGAAACACTTATATTGCTTACTAAAACCTATGTAATCTTCTTTGTTTTAGTATGTTTTCAATACATCATATATCAATAATATTTTAAAATTATTAACAATAAAATCCAATGAAAGTATTCGTATGCTTCGTGATCCTGTTGATCGTAAAGCATGGGGTCCTAGTCCACCGACTACAGTCAATGCCTTTTATAATCCACCAACAAATCAAATCAGTAAAGAAAATATTTTTGAAATATAACTGTTTCAATTTAACCATTAACAATTGGAGTTCAAATAGACCGAATTTCTTTAGGACTGACTGACTCATACCAAGCTATGAGTCGATTGAGGCTAATTGTTATTATCATGCATTATCTTTGGTCAGATCTGTATATTTTTTGAATTGAATACCGAATATTCTCGTGATAAGAATTCAAGAAAGCCATGTAAATCAAAATTAGATAATCAAATAAAACATTTCTTTAATTTAATAACCTACTTATGTCTAGCAAGACGACAAGTTGAAAATTGCAATATAACAACTGCCATGATTGGGTTTAATGGGGTTATTCTGTTAGTTTCTGCCGTTTTCTCTCCCTCTATATATATAAACTGTAAAATACAACTTGTTATTACATGATGTACAATTACTAATTTGACAAAAATTAGAACAATATAATATATCAGTTCATACGTATCGCAGCGCTTATCAGAATCCCAGTAAAACAGACTTTTAAAGCAGGGCGTCCCCAAGGAATTTTCTAGGATGCTTCGATGTATGATTTTATGATGATGATCATTCTTTTGCAAGAAATTACTTTATTATATCATTGTAT